ATTCCCAGTAGCATAGCTCAAAAAAATAAATTTTCTTAACACATAGGCCATCTTGTAGCCTATAGTTTATGAGCCGAAAGATCTACCCTAAACCAATCGGCGTTTTTTTTTTCTTTTTGAAAGCCATAAGCCCTTTCTAGCTTTTCTTTTTTTTTTTTTGCTCATAAAGTTGAGACGGGACTCCACAATTAAACATAAGGCTTCAAAGCCATTGGCTTATAAACCATGTAAGCCAAAAAGTTGGCTTAAAAGTATAAGCCAATAAATCTAAATCTAGAGGACCTTAATATCCATGATAACACATGTATCTTTCTAGTTAGATAAATGAGAATAGCAAAAATGTTCAAAGTGTTTTAATCCTTCATAATTTTACTAGATGTGGGATTTTCTTTTTAGCATAACCAAAGAGAGACAATATATAGTGTAAACCACATCTATTGTGGAAACTTAGAAATTACCATTAGATCTAAAAATAGATACTTAAGATCTGTCCGCATCACATTTTTAATGTTGGTGACGTGGACAAAAATCTCATGCATCAATCCAGGAGTAGTTTATACGTTTCCACTATTTCACTACATACTTTCCCATCCAAACATGTGATAATATGAATCCTTAAGAAGGCATATTTTCTAATATAAATATAAAATTTTGTACCATTTTTATCTCTATGTAAAATTTCTCTAACTAAAAAATATATATATGCTTATGCACGCACAGAATATATTTGAAGTATTAATTGTGTACTTGTAACTGCAGGCACCTGGTGATCTTAAGGAGAGTAGAATCCCTTTTTATGATAGCGATGAGAGCTTGAGGCTATCGAGGCGTCGACAAATCGTCACACAGATGCTTATGCTCAGCGGTTTAGGAAGGATTTCAAGCAGTTCTTAGAGCCCGAGGGCCTAGAGGTCAAATGGTTATCTCAGTGTACGTCGTCAGGTGGTCACACAAACCTAATTCTGAGTTCTCTCACTACTCAGGAAACCCTTTTCAGTCCCGGTTTGCAACTCTTTTAAGTCCCAGGTTACAAACTGGAACCCTGAATCCGTGTATCTTTAGTCCCGGGTGAAGTAACCAGGCCTAAACATGGTAGTGATACCGTCTTTAGTCCTGGTTTCTCTTTTTTTCCATTGTTTTTAGCTGCTTGCATATTCTTTTTTTCATCCTTTTTTTCCAACAATCACATATCGAAATGCAAAACATCAAAATTATTTTTTCCAACGCCACAGATGAAATGCAACAAAATCAAAATTAACATCACAGATTGACATCACAAAATCATCAACAAATTAACATCACAAAATCATCCACAAATTTACATCACAAAATCATCCACAAATCATCCCCGGTGCCGCCCGCCTCTGCTGACGGAGAAGGGAAGGGGAGGAGGGGGAGGAGAGGGGAGGGGGAGGAGGAGAAGGAGGGCCCCCGGTTGTTCGGCCGCGCTTCGCCGGCCTGCGCCACGCCGATGGGGCCGCCGCCACCCCGCGCCACGCCGATGGGACCACCCCCGCGCCCTCCCTCGTCGCAGCCGATGCCGCCACCTTCTGCTACGACCAGAGGATGGCAGGGAAGGAGGTCGCCCTATGCCGCAGATAGAGAGGGGAAGGGGTAGAGAGGAGGAGGGGAGGAAGGAAGCCACCAGCTGCCCACTGCCAATGGAAAGGGGAAAGGGAGGAGAGGAGGAGACGGGAAGAGAGGATCGGAGACTGGATCGGAGGAGTTACGGAGGACGTGGGAAGTTCGATCTGGAGATAAGGTCGAGGATTCGATTGAGGAGATAATAATAAGGTGGAGAGGCGCGTGCGTCTTCGCGCACTTTTCTGGATTTTTAGTCCTGGATGCTTCTACCTGATATCTTTAGTCCCAATTGGTAATACGAACCGAGATTAAAGATTCTTGGGGCCTGACATGGTTTGCCAACTTTTTGGGGTACTGCTAGTGGGGCGGGTGATCGCTTCCCCCTCCCCTTAGCGATCACCCGTCCCTCCCCCCTATACACTCTTCTTCTCTCCCTTCCTCCTCCCCTTCTTCTCTTCCTACTACAGTATACCATAAAATTTTAAAAAATAAAAATAACAAAGTTGAAAAAAATTATGGATAGAAATACTATATATAAAAAATTTGAATTCAAATTCAAATTTGAAATAGGTATGTAAACTTTTGACATATAAACTTTGGGTCTATAAACTAATATTTGAATTCAAATTTAAATTTGAATCAGGTATGTAAACTTTTGACTTATAAACTTTGGGTCTATAAACTTTAGAAGTATAGAAATACTATATATAAAAAATATTTGAATTCAAATTCAAATTTGAATCGGATATAATTCAAATTTAAATTTGAATTGGGTATGGAAACTTTTGACTTATAAACTTTGGGTCTATAAACTTTAGATGTATAGAAATACTATATATAAAAAATATTTGAATTCAAATTCAAATTTGAATCGGGTATATAAACTTTTGACTTATAAACTTTGGGTCTATAAACTTTAGGTGTATAAACTTGAGATGTATAGAAATACTATATATAAAAAATATTTGAATTCAAATTCAAATTTGAATCAGATATATAAATTTTTGATTTATAAACTTTAGGTCTCTAAACTTTAGATATGTAAACTTGAAGTGTATAAACTTTATGTGCATATATTTACTAAAAAGGGAAAGTAATGCGGTGCCAAAAAAGGAAACAGGAGAGGGAGAGGGGGACGCCACGGGCGATCGCTAGGGGCGATCGATCGCCCGTTAGCCATCTCGAACTTTTTGAACCGGGACTAATATCAAAAAGTTTCGGTGGGTTTTTTAACCGGGACTAAAAATAATCTTTAGTCCCGGTTCCTATTCAAACCGGGACTAACGTGGTTTTTGCACCACCTAGCCAAGATCAGTTTTCTAGTAGTGACTCAACCATTGGAGCCCATACCGATCTCTTTAAATGACATGGCATTGAAGGTGAGCTGGTCAATTTCTTCACTTTTATTATCAGCCACAACCAAAATTCAAATTTCAAATCACTTGAAACCAGTACAGATCTCTTGATTCTGATATTCTTTTTTCATAGTTTACTTTTCAGCATTAACTTTTTCTCCCTCCATCCAAAAGTCTAACAATTCTTTTTTTTCACCAAAATCAAGAAATATTTGATTCATCCACCATATGTAAAACCAACAAACTATACACATGCATACAACCAATAAGCAGTAAGATGACTTATAGGGTAAAATTTAATTCAACATATAAAAACTACAAATAGACCTTAGACTTTTAAAACAAAACAAAAAATGAAATTGATCTTAGACTTTTGAATGGATGGAGTAAGTCACTAGGAACACGTATATAAAAGTTTTATCTATAAATTATTATTTATCGATCGCCATTAAGCGTTATGGCTTATAACCAGCAATAGAAAAGGCACAAGTGTATTATCGCTTTTAAGTACATCTCTGGGTCACATTGGTTGCTTGATAATGTGACACCAAGGCTCCTAACTCTACTTTTCTAATCTTTTATTTACTTCTAGGGCATGATCAATAAAGAAAAGATCAATTCCTTCTACATGCCCTCTCATTGCCCTCTGAATAAGGACGTAATTAAATAGGATCATAGAAGATAAGGGTTCATTTGAAATCATCAAGAGTATACTGATCCAAGATATATTCAGTGGTGTGGATATATCCTTTATCAATCCAAACATGATGGACTTGGGGATAGGAGCAGCGCATACGAGCCATTAATAGTGCATCATTTTGGATCGTCAAAAGAAATGATAGATGAGTTCACGAGAACGATGGAGCGGCACATGATCAGCTCAGTGGGCATGGAAGTTTTGCTGGCTGCTGAAGCTGATTACCCATTCATTAGCCTTCATCTACATATGCTTTCATTCAAGCTAGTATTGTAATTAAATTTGTAATTCATATAGTATTTACTTACAAGGTACCGAATAGTTTGGACCTTACATTTGATTGGCGATGATGCCTATCTTCGGTGGGTACTGTTTTGATTCCCATAAAGACGGATGCAGGGGAAAATAGAATTAAATTTAAAAATATACTGTTCCTCCAATTTTTTATTTAAGAATAGTCAGGATGTAAATTTTTTTACAGAAATATACCGTCGATCTCGCATAATCATTGCGCGAAAATAACGCGGACGTGATGTCACGGACGGTATCGCGCGGTAAAAGCGCGAGAGCGCACGGTCTCGCACGACGACAGCGCGAGACCGCACGGTCTCGCGGAACCAAAGAGCGAGACCGAACGGTCTCGCTGATTGAAAGAGCGATACCGCACTGACATGCCAGATAATTAGTGATTAATTATCTTGATTAGCGATTAATTAATAATTAATTAATCGCTAATCAGAATAATTAATTACTAATTATTATTAGTTAATAGTTAATTAGGTAATTAACCATTGACGGCCGGGACTGCCATGCCGGTGTCGCTGCTTCAACCAGCGATACCGAGCGGACTAACTCTTTGCTTCCGCGAGACCGCGTGGTCTCGCGTCGCTATCGCGCGATACCGCACGGTCTCGCGCTTTCATCGCGCGATACCGCTGGTGACGTCATGTCCACGTCATTTTCGCACAACGGTTACGCGAGATCGATGGTATATTTGTACAAACAAATTTTCATCCTGAATATTCCTGAAAAAAAATTAGATAAACAGTATATTTTCAAATTTAATTCGGGGAAAATATGCAATGGAAACTACATATGTACTGGAAATGATTTGCGCTATATATTGTTCCTGTACGGGATGCATGTAGTCCGGAGTACGGGGCATTTAACTACTTGCCACTCTTAAGAAGTGATGATAACATATTTACCACTCCTTGTCTATGACAAATGGACCCTCGTGTCTATAACATGCGAGCCAGTGACAAAAATGTTATCATCCCTTGTAAGAGTGGCAAATAGTTAATTATTCCCCAAAGTACTGCACATGCTTTCATCACAACTATAAAAAACTTGGTAAGGCTTCAAACGAAGAACTAGCGTATTATTCCTTTGTCTTACCATAATTGGTAAGGTTTTTTTTTTCCAACAAACTATGTAATTTATAACTGAATCTACCCTGCCAAAGTCACGTATACTTCTGGTCTCGAGAATCGGGATCATATCTTGCACCGCATATAGCGCATACTAATACAGGGTTACAAAACATGTTTTTGTTCACGCGCAATGCAACCACAGAATGCCGTGAAAAAAAACAACGAATAAAACGTCATGATTGGCCTCATATGGCCAATACAGAAACGTTTCTAAAACTACCCTTGCTATTCCTGTGACTGACTATGAGCAAATTAAGTTTAATATGCACCTTGAGAGAATCGTTTATAGGGATATATATTGCTGACGGCCATAAAAATGTGGTCGAGAATCAAGAATACTGCTAAACCATGTGAATATATATCATTACCATGTTGAGATTCAATAGCCACCGGCAAAGAACTGCCTCCCTGCCGTTGTTGAAAACTTGAAGTTGATTCTCTACTGGCAGTCTGTCACTCAAGCTATCAGCACTCGACAGCATGTTTACTATACAGGCTTCTCTGTCCATGGTTTGCTTCTCGAATGATGCTGCAAAAAGAGTTTGTGTTTTATAGAACGGGAATTTTCTGTACCAGTAGCAGCAGTCTTTAGGGTGGTATTGAGCATTGCCACCCAGGGTCTCCTTCTCCATACAGCCTTTGCAAACGACATGACTGATTGGTTATCAAACTATAAGTCGAGGGACGATCCCGTGCCACAACGGAGAAATTATCACCATACATGTGTGTTCCTTCAACCATCAACTGCCAGATAAGAGCACCACTACCCGCCTGCAGCTTTCTTGCCGAATCATAGATTTTATCATAAACAATTCTTAGAATAATGTCTCTATCAACTGTGCTGTTACTGTTTGCATCTGAATGCTGGAGGTAGCCTACTTCTGTAAATAGGACAGGTTTTTTCAAGATTTGTTCACTGTCATTCAGGTGTGAATCAACCCAATTGGAAAGATATCTGACTTTTTCTTCCAAGCTTGCCCTTGGTAACCTGACAACAAAAGAAATACAATGAACATCACTATAACGGCATGATACGTACCAGGAAAACTTCGGGAAAGAAATACATACCAGCTATCGGGATAAGCATGAACAGAAGCAAAATCAATATGTTCAACTGCTGAGTTTTGTATGAAGTCTGAGCAAAGTGAAGCTGCCCATTCCCCGGGATTAACACCCAGTCTTTCAGCTATTCCAGGACCATAAAACCCTTCAGTTCCAACTGTAACTAGATGATTAGTGTCCAAACTTTTTACATATGCAGCCATCTCTGCAATCCAAGCCTGTTAAGGAACCATCAGGGTTTCCACTCTGACAACTGCATTGTTGTTGAAAATGGAAATGGATAGTACCATATTACCTGAAGGTAGGGGCCAGATGAGTTGGACACACACCTAGGCTCATTCATGAGTTCCCAAGCAAATATAGCAGGTTCATCAGAGTATCTTATTCGACTGTAAGAGTTTCTTCTGGTCAATATTGCCTGTCAATAATATATTTTGTTACACTTATAGAAGTACAATGATTTGTCAATTTTGGTCAAGACTGGAGAGCATCCAGTGCTTAAATAGAAGCTACACAAACATGGCGCAAATTTCTTTTTACTTGGTGGACTGTAGTCATAATAGTTGTGAAGAACATATTTACTTTTTTTTTTTCAAATAAGTTACAAACTGTATGCAGGAAAGCCCCTAGTAGACCTAGCAAAAGAATGTTGAAGGTCCTTGGCATCCTTAATATGTGGCAAAACTGCAAAAGTATAGGTATGAAGATAAGGACGAACAACAGAATGTTTTGAAAACTTAAAAGTTTGGATATAAAACAAATGCCATTGTGATTGGCCATAGTGGTGTCTCATCAGTTAATCAAAGTCATGGCAGTCACCTAATGGTGGCCGCAAGTCCACAACACATACTCCCAGTAAATCACTCCTAGATAAAACATTGAGGATATAAAGACTGCCATCTTAGATACATTTATTTGAACCACAGAAACCATACTCCTTATATAAAACACATTTTTCTAACATAACTTCACATACAAGTAATCTATGGTAAAGATATCATATTATATTAACTATCACTGTTAATGCTACACACTGGGATCTGCTCCTGCCTATTGCTTCTTTGTCATGTAACAGCACTCAACAAAATTACAGCAAATATACAACAAAATAAATGCTGTGACAACAGAAAACAACAATCTTTGAGCTAATCAGTTACCTTCACATAATCCTTGTAGTAACGCTTAATAGTTGGATGTGAATAAAAAGAATCAGTTGAATTTGTCATATTAGCTCCAGCTGCTTGTGCCCACTGGACATATTGAGCCTTCCCTCCAAGGTTATCGAGGTTGTTCACAAGGCAAAGAATCAATCTAATATGATTTCTCCGGGCTTCATATATGACATAATCCAATACCTAAAATGAACAAAGGCCAGTTAAATGTGTATGAAGAATAACCATTAAAAAGTCTTATTAGCTGAGGTCCTGAGAGTTTCAGAGTGCTCTAAAAAAATTAAATGCACCTCCAAAAATGATACATTAAAAAAATTAATCCAGAATAGGCAAACTAGCTAGGTGCATGTGTATTGCAATGGATTTCAAATAAATATATCACAAAAGTTCTAAACTTGCAAGGTGGATTTGAAGCCAAATATCTATCCACAAATAGCCCAATTATAAGCCACATATACAAATAATCTGTTCCCCAACAAGGCACCAACATCCATACAGATTAAGTGGTAACTAGCTTCTAGGGCCAGTGCCACCAAAGACTTCAAAAGTAGGGGCTTCCCTTGGAATGGGGAGGGAGGCTAATTTAGGGCACTGCCCTCATAGATGGATTAGCATGTCAGACTACACTAATCAGTGGGAGGTAAATAGAGAGAAAACAACTCAATTGCTAAAATAGCTAGGTGCTAACCATTGAATTTATCATATTTTACTTTCATGTTTGTGTTATTTGTAAGATTATTATAGAATATTGCATACTAGTAATATGTAGTAATATGTAGGTAATAAATTATATTTGGGGATAATTATTTATTTACTAGTACAAATTCTATTTTAGATTATAATATATTTGCTTGGGATCCATAGCAATGCACAAGCACAGACATGATGGTAGTTTGCTAAAATAGCTGTTGCCTGTTGATAATGGAATGCCTGGAGGATATTATGGAGGCACTGAATTTATGGATTTAGACTACCGAAGCTCATGTCTGAAAATAGCACAGTCCAATCTGTTACAGAAGACGCTATGGCGCTACTACATGTCAATAAAAATGTGGGGCTCCTATCCTAAAAAGCACGATGTGCATATCATCATATAGATTACGGTAGCAGAAATCTAAAGCTGGTTAGGAGTAAACTAAAAGGGTTTCCATCCGATAATACTCAAATTTTAGCAAATTTCAAGGGGCGGGGGGACAGCAATTCCCCATGATTTGTAATATTCACGGTCCATCATTCTTTAATTCGTTGCTTGTTCGTCGTCAAACAAACACATTCCCCCTTAATATCGTCAGCATGGTGTCCAAAACCCCTATATTGTGCCGCACTACCACAAACGCGAAAAAAATGTGTCATGTGTCCACACACGTTCGAATCAATCGCCAACTGCAAATCCTAATCCACCAGATCGCATGCTGTGGCCTCCATTTTGGATCAAGCGCATCAGCTAAGCACGCCACAATTTGCAGGCAACATTATGGTAAACTGCGCCGATTTGAGGACGCGGGGAGGAGAAGGGGGATCCCGCACCTGGAAGACGGCCTCGCTGAAGCGGCCGGGGGAGATCTGGAGCGCGCCGGGGCCGCCGTCGCTGAACGCCCAGGTGCGGCAGACGGAGAGCCCCATCCGGCGTCCCCGGCGCAGCATCTCGGCGGCGAGCGCCGGGGACCGCGCGGGGAGGAGCCAGTAGGAGTTCCAGCCGTTGACGTAGAGCGGCGACCCCGTGTCGGCGTCGACGAAGTGGGTGCCGCGGCGCGCCGCGAAGGGCATCCGCGGCTGGAGCCACGGCACCGGCAGCTTGACCCACCCCCCACCACCGCCCCCGCCGCCGTCGTGGGTCGTCGGGAACCAGGTGAGGTAGACGACGGCGAGGAGGAGGAGGAGGCCGAGGAGGCTGTACAGCCGCCTCTCCTGCCGCATCGCTCCGCCGCCGCCGACGACGCCGCGCGCAGGAGGCGGCGGAGCGTTGGGTGTGGGCCTGTGGTGGATGGTGGCTCGCTGACTGGTGTGGCTTGGCGTTGTCAACGACTCTAGTACAAAGGTGATGTCCCGTTTCGTTTCGATGGCGTCGGCCGGCCGTTGTACGCTGCTACTACTACCGTTTCGGTCTGAAAGACGCAAACACGCACGTAGACACGCAGGCAGAGATGCCTTAAAAACTGAAAGACACTTTGCCCCTGCGTGTTTTAGTTTGGGGATTAAGGTGAAATGAGTTAGTCCATCTCTATATTTTTTTAGTATGGAATTAATGATTCCTTGTATGTTTTTAGCGAATGATATTTTTTAAAAAAATAAGACGGTGTGGTGCATATGTCATTATGTCAATGAGAATCAGGAAATGGGTTGGATTAATCTTTCTTAGGGCGCGCTCGTTAGTGTAGGTTTGGCTGTGTTGCGCGTTCAGACAGACATCAGGCGTGGAGGAGGGGGCGCTATTCAGTAACGTGGGTAGGCAAGTAATGGTGACGGTGTTGACGAGAGGTAGGTAGCCATATGCCTTTCCGTCATGGTCCGGAAACCCTATTACCTAACGGTTTTCACAGTGAGCTGAACTTTACCAAAAAGCTTGCGTGTTGTGTTTGGCCATTCACCCTTCCTTCCAGAGCAACGCACCACCATTCTTGCATCTCCAAGCTCGAGCTCACCTATTGCCCAACATATAGTGCTGTGCCCTCCCCATTGTTCTTCCTCCTTGAGCCGCCGCATTGTATTGCACAGAGGGCATCTCGAGGTCGCCTGCAGGAGTGCGAAGACAGGCGGTCGTCGAATCTCGAATCATTTCAGCAAGCACAGAGGGCAGTCGTCGTCTGCATCGTCTCCGTCGTCGTTGCAGCAAGCCTCGCAGACCACGCGCATGCCATAGGCTGCTTGGCCTAATAAGGTAGCATCCACAAGCCCACTTTGGTGTGCTGCATCGGAGGAGGAGAAAGGTGTCGTGCCTAGGCGCATCGATGCATCGTGCAGAGGGAAGGCATCAGCTGCCCGATTTCGGAATCGCTGCGGCCATTGCAGAGACCGGTCATCTCCGATCTCGTGCTGCACTGTTGAGGGGGATTTGGCGCCCTTGCATCGCCATTGTCGAAGGAAGGAGGTGCTCCTTGCTCGATCTAGCTCTTTCATTTACCGTAAGCACGCTTCCCAAACTGCTATATGTTTTATTTACAAAAACTTTGTATACATATTTTTTTTTTAGAAAAAATAAACTCATTTTCAAGTTTGTAATAGGTAATACTTAATTAATCATATACTAATAATATTTCTCGTTTCGTATGTGACAAAAAAGCAAAAGATAAATGATCTCAAACTTTAACGGAGTTGTTGGGTAGTGGGTTTGCTTCCCACATATATTTTTATTGTGCTTCTCAAACGGCTAAATAATATGTATTTTAAAGAAAACATTTGGTATAGAAGTTTTTTTAACAAAGATAAAAAAACTCAATTGTAAAATTTATAGTGATTAATATTTAATTAGTTATGCACTAATGGTTTATCTCATTTTTTTATGCGATGAAGTTGACACGTCTAAACTCTCTAACGAACTGAGCTTTAAGCCAGTGACAAAACCGATGATGGGCTCGGTTTAGTACCCTACTAGAATTTTCGTAGTGTCAAAGTTCAAAATTTTTGGCTGGCATTTTGGCGTGTGAGAGAGAAAAGAAATTAGTTTGATATGATTCCAATTTGCGTCAATAATAGAAAAGTGTGAGCACTGCCAAAATATCGGTATAGTATGGTTCAAAACTTCGGCACTACCTAAACATTAGTAGGAGAGCAACCCAAATCAGTTCTTTCGGCTATTTTGAACTGCTATCAAACAATATGCCCTACTATTATTGCGCAATTCCAGCAGTAGCTTTAATTGCTTGTATTGAAGGACAATATGTTACACGTTTTAAGGAGGCAGGTGAGGCGAACGTTGGAAGAGATAGGTGGTCTGTGTGTGTTGCTTTGGCGTGTGTTTGGTTCTAGGACAAGGTGGGATGGGATGAAACCATTTCTGATTTTGGGGTTAGGACGATTCCACCTGTGTGTTTGGTTTGTTGAATAGGACGATCCCAGTTTTTTTGTTTGGTTGAAGGGACGAGGGAGGAATGGGATGAATACCGTTTGCAACCACTGACGACGCCGTTTGCAATAACCATGGCCACCTCCGCCTCTGCCCTCACCTCCCTCTCCACCACCGAGATGCGTCGCGCCGCCAGACAGGAGGGAGCTGCCGATCTGCGGCGGGCAATGGTGTCGGCCTTCACTGCGAGCAGCTGTGGCTCGGCGACGACGGCATCGGCGAGGTCCGCGGCGGAGAGGGAGAGGCCAGATCCGTCGCCGCAGCCCTCCCCATCTCCGGATCCGCCGCCGCAGCACTCCCCATCCCCGGATCCGCCGCTACTGAGCCCGGACGGAGGAGCAGGCCGACGAAGGAGCTCGCCTCGACGAGCAGGACGGCAGCGAGCAGGTAGAGGAGCCGGTGACTCAGCGGGCCGGCGAAGGAGCAGCGCCGGCAAGCGACTCGGCAGGGGCGAGCACGCAGAGCTTCGCGAGTGGGCGGCGCGACTCGGCGAGCGGACGGCGACTCGGCGAGCGGGCGAAGGAGCGTCGCCGATAGGCGATTCAGCGGGCACGAGCACGCGCAGCTTCGCCGGCGGCGACTCGGCGGAGGAGCAGCGTGCGGAGTAGCGGCGGCGACCGACGTTGAGGTAGACGACCGGCGTCCAGGCGGAGGAGTGCGACCGACGTCGAGGTAGACGACCGGCGTCCAGGCGGAGGAGCGGCGGCAGGGTACGGGCGGCGCCACGACAGAACCGAGCGGGAGGTGGCTGGAGCGAGTGACGCCGTTCTCTCCATCCAAGTGGGATCGATTGGTCCGGCCGATTTTGGCGGATCACTTCATCCCGGATCTGGAGAGAATATTCCCATCTAGAATCATTCCATCCCACCCATCCCTCCATCCAAACAACTGGAAAAATGGGATCGACCCAACCCATCCCGTTCCATCCCACCAACCAAACACTACCTTGGTGATTTTCTCTTGCACATCATGGTACATCAGTATTGTAATTTCGGCATCTAGTATGCTTCTAGATGAACTGTTTTCTGTGGAACTTTGTATGTACGTTCTGACCAACTTGTCAAGTTTGTTCGTGGTTTGAGTACTTGACACCAACTTTGGTCTTTGGCTAACGTCATGAACCCCTATTAATAGTACGACGACTCTAAGACTTAAGTCAAAAACTAGGTGATACTCCGTGCGTTGCTGCGGAAATACATGAGGAGATTGATTGATGAAGCAACATTGTAAACCAAAACTAAACTTTGTACATAATATAAGAGCACTGTAATATGAGTCTTTATAGTATTATATCCATGACTTCCAAAACACTGTTAGCGACATACCAAAATCACGTATTGGTGCTTGTGCATGTATATATGTTTTCAGCTTTCAGTAGCAGACCAATGAAATAGGGAACAAAATGAAAAATGAACAAAATGCAAAAACTTAAATGGGTATTGCAACACCGTTAGTTATTGATCCATGGTGTAAATCAAGAACTAATATAACATACCCACCATAACTAACTAATGAGAGGAACTGGAAGAGAAAAAGAGCACATAGCAGTAAAATAGTTAAGAATGCACATACTGTTGCATGTCAATGGAGCGTCATCAGCACATGAAAGCTGCGAGATTTTAGATACAAATAAACAAATCAAGGCACAACACATAGGAGAACTCTTGTACTATACTACTAAAGCTAGCCACACAGGTGATTAGAACAGAGATCAGGAAAGTAACACTGTATCTTTCAGATAAAATATAACATACAATTCGGGGTAAAAGTGTGAAAAACTGAAGTTTTGAAGTTCAAACCTGATGTCAAACTGGTCCATGGAAAGCACAATGTGAAGCAAAGGAGGCGCATGCTGTAGAATTTGCCCGACAGGGGAAGATATCAATCATCGTCGTTCCAAATAGAAACGATACGATTGATGACCATGAATCTTGTTTTCGCTGGAGATGAGATGCACACCGCTAGAACACATGCGCTGAAAAATCTCTCAAACATAGTGCTGGCTGATCTCTGGCATCTGCAACTTATATGTGATTATACCCTGAAAAATCTGGATGAATTCAAAGAAATTTAGTAGGGGAATAAATGGGATTAATCATGGGACGTGGCCTCTGATCTCCACACTCTTGGCGACAGTTTTTGGTGCAATTATTGAAGAACGAATGCTCGATTCAGGGACGGAAGAGCCGGGGAAGGTGAACGCCATGATTTTCTCGCGAATCGCTAGCGTCGCAAACTCGTGCAGATGGCGGCTCGGGGTTGTGGTTGTGGAGCAGCCGCTTTACCCGTGGTGGTGGATGGGCCGATGCAAAAATCTTGGACTGGGCCTCGCCTGCTGGGTTTTACGTAGAAAATTACGAAAGATGATAGGGAGGCGTGGTGGGTACCGCCCGTCGAATGGAAATAAATCGCACAGCTGAGTCTCTTACTACAGATTAAATCGGACGGCTTGGTTTAATCGATGACGTGGCTCACTCCTAGAGCTGCTTTATAGTAGTAAATGTAGATAGGGGGTTCCAACTATGTAGGAAGAAAGGATTAATGTCTAGAAGTGCATCGTTGAGATCTATAATAGTAGTGAATCTTTTATGGGGTTTCTTTTTGTTTCATAACTATTCTTCATGGAAAAAGTACGTTCCCCCCCCCCCCCGAACTATTGCGACAATATGAATTATCCCCCCGAACTACAAAACCAGACATATTACACCTCAAACTATTGATACCGGATGAATTACCCCCCGACTCAACCCTGAGCGGTTTTTCTCCTACGTGGCATACACGTGGCGTCGACGTGGAAATCCAATCAGCAAAAAAAAAAGTAAAATATAGGGCCCACCTGTCATTACCTCTGTTCAGTCTTCCCCTCCCCCCTCTCTCTCAGCCTCACAGGTGCGCGTCGACGGCAGCGGGCGGCGGCAGCGGCGCGCGGACGGGCGGCGGGCGCGGCGAGTGGCGAGCGCGGCAGGGCGTGGTTGGGCCGGGGCAGGCGGCGGGCGTGGCGGGGGCGCGGCGGGTGTGGTGAAGAGGCGGCCGGTGGCCGGCGGGCGTGACGGCGCCCTGTGCCCCCCCCTGTCGCGGCGGAGGGCGGCGAAGTGGCGAGGGTGGAGGCGGCCGCCCTTCTGCTCCGAGTCCCGGCGGCCGCGGCCATCACTGCCGCCGTGCCCGAGTTCGTCGTCGTCGTCGTTGTCGTCTTCAACCTGGGGCCGTCGGTCTCTCTCTCTCTCTCTCTCACCCCTCTCTCTCGGGCCGTCGGGAGGTCGGCGCGCGGGTCGACATGGCCGTGGCCGCCGCCATTGCCGCCACCGCGCCCGAGCTCGCCGTCGTCATCTTCAATGTCCTCGGCGCCCGCCGCCCGTCTCGCCTTCCCCACCGCGCCCGCCGGAGCTCGGGGATTACGACGGCGATGACGGCGGAGGAGACAAGGTCGGCCGCGGAGGAGGCGAGGCGGCGGTGAGGCAGGCGGAAAGGCGGCGGCAGCGGCGAGGCGAGTGTGAGGCAGGGCGGAGGGGCGGCGGCGGCGGCGAGGCGAGCGCGGCGGCGGAGGAGGCGAGGCGGCAGCGAGTGACCTGGAGCCTGCCCCGGCCCCACCACGCCCCGCCGCGCCCCCGCCCCGTCCGCCGCCTGCCCCGGCCCAACCACGCCCCGCCGTGCCCCCGCCGCGCTCGCCACTCGCCGCTGCGCTCGCCGCCCGTCCGCGCGCCGCTGCAGCCGCCGACTGGCGTCGACGCGCACCTGAGAGAGAGAAGGGGGAGGGGAAGACTGAAGAGAGGTAATGGCAGGTGGGCCCTATATTTTCCTTTTTTTTTTTGCTGAATGGGTTTCCACGTCGACGCCACGTGTATGCCACGTAGGAGAAAAGCTGCTCAGGATTGAGTTGGGGGGGTAATTCATCCGGTATCAATAGTTTGAGGTGTAATATGTCTGGTTTTGTGGTTCGGGGGGGGGGGGTAATTCATACTGTCGCAATAGTTCGGGGGGGTAAAACGTACTTTTTCCATTCTTCATCGTACCGTTACTCCCCTAATTATATATGGTGGCAAGATGGGTTTGAAACCGACTTGAAGTCATGTATTGATACTTCATTGAATGATCAAGAATTTGATACAAGTTGGGATGCAATGATTGATATATAAGTTGCACGAGAACAAGTATATGCAACACCTCTACGATAACAAAAAGAAATAAGTCCCCTGTTTTTTCATGTATTGCTTCTTCCCTTCATGAGCACCTCCAAAATGAGTGAGAGCATGAACAATTTATTTAAGGACTTTTGTCTACCCAGCTGATTCAAACAGAAACTTCATCTTGCATTATGAGAAGCTTACTCAAGCTGTGTTCGGCTCTACTGGTTCTCATCCTCCCCTCCCTCGTTCTTCGTGCGTACGCTTCCCAAACTATTAGATAGTGTATTTTTTGCAAAATATTTCTATAGGAAAGTTGCTTTGAAAAATCATACTAACCCATTTTTTGAATTTTTTTAGCTAATACTTAATTAATTGTACACTAATCCATCGCTATGTTTTCCGTACGGAAGGTGAGTGTTCCCAACCCTCACCCAATAACACAGCCCCAATCTTGTCTTAAAGGGATGGCAATCAACGCTACATAACAGTCCAAACAGAGACTATACAATGGAAGAACAAGCTTCAAAGTTCTACACACGTGCGATATTTGAGAAGTTTAGGGACAACGAATCCACTTTACTCAAGTGAACAATAATATCCTGTAGCAAAAATTGCTATCTTAACATGGTGGCCTTGCATCTTGGAAGTTGAGGAATCTAGTTTAAGTAGTTGAGACTTGGGAGTTTATTTTGGCCCATAGCGTATAAGGTTTCTTGAGGGAGTAATCGTTAAAATGTTTCACATACAGTAAAGGGCTCAAATAATTTTTTTTTACTGTACATTATTTTTTTTAATATATACATACAAGCAGACGCTGTGTTTACACTTCTATACACTAATTTACATTTTAAATATTTAGAACATAACAGGTTGAAATCATACAACGGCATATCTCTCAATGGAGATATTGAGTACTATGTTGCTAGAATGGCAGAAGTCAAACGGTACCAAAAGGAAAGCTTCTGAAGGGTAAATACCTGTCCACTGCCTTGTATTTGTGACAGAAGCCTTCAGTTGCAGTCTATTTTCAGGTTTCTTTCTACTAGTTGCTTCAATTTGGTAGGAGAACATCCAATTTAGATTGCCACTCCTAAGACAAACTACTGAAAACGCATGCCCGAAGGGCGTCAGGTTATTGTTCTGGAGAAGGAAAAGGTGGTCATCCTCTCCAAGAAAAACCAGAAAAGGCACCGATACCTCAATATTTACTTCAAAAGGCTGACCATAGATGAACCTCATAACATCTGAACTATGGCTGGTAAGGAAGTGTCCTGACCAACGTCCAGTGAATCCTCTATATCCACAATTAGAGATTGGGCACACTGAAGGAGCAAAAAGACAAGCTTCTTCATGAGCATCTCTTTGTGCGTAGTTGATAAACTTGCAGCAACCCCACTTTGCATATGAGCAAGAGGACTTGATTGACTCAACAATCTTCTCCAATGCAATATTTCGAGCAAATTTGGCATCGCGAGAACAAATGTGACACTTATTGCTGAGCTTGGACCAGCAGGAAAAGCATGCTACATGGCCATTTTGGCACTGAAAATGATACAAATAAGCTGTGAACATGCAAGGCGAAGATAAGAGTATGTCTATTATAACAGAAATAGTCTGCTTAAAGTATAGTCAGGTGAAGTATGATTACAATTACAACAGAAACCAATCCAATGTGTTAGTATGTTTGTAGTAAATTGTCAAGAGTGTAGAGAATTGCTTTGATACATGTGTTAACTCTTTGCATCAGTTCTGCATATGTTTTCAGTCAAATAAATATTATGTGCTTGTATCTATAGGTAAAGGAACAGTTTACTAAACATGGTTGCAATAATGAACTGGTTTCTGAGAAAATTTATTTTTATTGGTTACCTTTGGGCAAATATGGTTCAGCATGGTCTTGAAAGCTCCTCTGGCTTCTGAGGTGTTTGATTCAGTGGTTTGTAACATATCCCATTAACAGTGGTAAGTGGATAAGTTTCTTACTTTTTAGTTCGCACTTGGTAGTTACAAAGCAAGGTGGGAGAACAATCCACCAGAAAAGCCACTCCAGCCTAAGCTGACTGGTTTAGCATGCCGTTACCATGAACTGAGAGCTGCTCCATCTCAATCCCTATCTTTAGTATTCCGGTATTCCCTTCCTCATCATGAGTGGCACTGCTTGCGAGCTCCACAACTCCCCAGTTGTGACCGAGTGACTCGCACTTGCATTAGCTGCATTCACCTCCTCCAATTCCCATTTTCCCTATCCCTCTGTCTCTCTTCCCCTCTCCATCTACCCTCTACCCATTCCCTTCCCCTCTCCCTATCAGTTCAAATTCTTCTCATTAACTGGTGGAAACATGCAATTACAGGGTAAGATGTGTAACCCTAACCAGCAAATTATTTGCTGCTCAAACAGTTGAGTGCTTATATATACAAATAAATTCCCTTTTCCATCCAAAATTGTGTATACAGTTGTGGTCATATGAACTTTTCATATACTCTCTCCTTTATATGTGACATTGGTTAGTTTGACACATGCAAGCCTGTTAGGACTTTTTCGGATTTCTCGACAAAAAAGAAACAAGAGAAATTATTGAATTTCATATGTAAGAGGGCCCATAAGTCCAACTATGCAGCCATGCAAGCGCAGAAACAGGCCATGATTGATCCAGTAGGCCACTTTTCAGAACAATGGTTACTTGTGAGTTAGGTCTGGAAAAATAAACAGTGGAAATATGTTTGGAAGGCTGCAGTTGACACAGTACATCAATTACAAGCACAACGCAGAAGCCTATTAATCTTGGATCACCACGCATTGTAATGAAATAACTTAGCATGCTTGGTTTTGTATAAGCCGAAGAATGATTGGAACACAAAGCCATTCAGTCTGTGATCCATGGCCATTATTGTTATCAAAGTAGGCTAAGAGCTAGCTGCTTAATTTCAGTTCAACGCATTGCAAGCATGACGCTAACCAATTCTAGTACCACGGTAATTTTAGCTGTTTCAACTTAATTCGTTGGAAGCGCATGGATGCTAGTACTATTGCATCCAAAAGGATGAACACATAGTGTATCTCTTATCACTAAAGGGCATAGCTAAACAAAAGAATGCTAGAGATTTTTTGTTCTTTTTATTTAAGCTGAGCTGATAATTTTGTTTCGTACCCAAACCCGAGACAACAGCATTGACCAACCCCATTTGGGAATTCCCCTTGCATAGTTCAAATTGGCACATCAAATTAAGCAACCAGCATATCAAATTGCAAGCAAACACCAAATTCCTGCACAGAATTGGACTAGTACCTGGTAGAGGGGAGGGCGGAGGGACTCGAAGCAGATGGAGCAGTCGAGCACGTCAGGGTCGATCTGCACGCTGAGGCCACCCTCGACCTCCCCGTTGGCCATCTCCTCCGCCGGCCCGCGCCGCCCGGCCGCCTCCGCCTCCGCGCCGGGCGCCGCTGGCTCGCGGCCCGCGACCGCCGAACCCCGGGCCCTGGGGGGTTCGTCCTCGGCGTCGGCGGGGCCATCGTCGCGCTTCCTCTTGTCGCGGGCGGTAGCGACGGGAGGGTCGTCGTCGGCGTCGTCCAGGGTGAACTTGGCCATGGATTTGGGAATACTGGGGAGAGAGAGAGAACTAGCTGTTGCAGTTAGCAAGTTGCAAGTGATCCGCTTACCCACGATAGCACGCAAAAGGCAAAAGCAATGGGCTTACGAGTTTTGATGGGCTCGCGAATTGGGCCATAGCCCATAACCTCGCGCCGAGCTGGTTTGGCTCGGCTAGTTATGCTAACAAGTTAAAAGCTTGGGGCCTGTTCACTTTGATGTTATTTTTGATCTTATCAAATTTTGGTAAAGTTGCCAAAAAAATGGCTGCATTTAGTTTGTTGCCAAATTTTAGTAACTATATAAGAAATCCTGCCAAAATTTAAATTTTGGTAAGTTGGATCTTTTTTGGCTCATTTGCCAGCTCATTTAGATGGTACACCCTCCGTCCCGAAATATAAGAGATTTTTGGTGGATAGGATGTATTCTAAAACTACGAATCTATACATGCTCCCTGTCTAAATTTATAATATTATGGTACGTTACATCCAACCAAAATCCTTTATATCTAGAGACTAAGGGAGTAAGTCGTGGTTCGGTCGAGAGGAGGAGATGACCTCAAGTTTTCCAAATGGCTAGAAGCAAAAGAGAGCAAGAGAGAATGGTGCTCGCCTCGCGCGAAGTCAAGCATAGGAACGAGCAGGAGAGGGGGGATCTCACTAGTGGCTAGGAACCTCACTGGACAGACGAATCCCTGTATGGCACGAGCTCGAGCTCGTCGGCCGCTTCAGGAAAGCACCCATGCTCACCGATGATGCTGGTGACTGGTGTTGCTCGCGTTCGTAAGTGATGATACACGTTGGTGATTAGGGCACAGGATGCCGGCGAACGACAAGTAACAACGGTTCCATACTTGGCACCTAGCATGGGGCGGCGGCGGGGCAAAGCTCCTCGACCTCGACGTGGAAGACGATGGGGAAGGACCCAAGAAGTGGGGCAAACGGTAGAGAGATAGCAACGGGTGAACATCTTTCTTTAAAAAAAGAGAGAAGAAGCCGATAGGTGAAGTAGGCTTTAGAGTATGAGTTATGTTAGTTACTCCCTCCGTTTCACAATGTAAGTCATTTTAACATTTCCCACATTTATATTCATGTTAATGAATCTAGGCATATATATCTATCTAGATTCATTAACATCGATATGAATGTGAGAAATGATAGAATGACTTACATTATAAAACGGAGGAAGTATGTGGGCTTATTGTTTTCTTGGACTAGCTTTGCTTGTTTTTCTTTGCATCCTGACTCAGTTTGGCTCGTGAGTAGCTCGAGCTGCGATGTTAAGTTTGCTAAGTAGAAATGATAGCTTGCCTCGTTAGCAAAAGATAACAACCCGAACAAGCTAACGAGCCACTATTTTTTCGTCCAGCTCTACTAGTGCGGAGGAGCAAGCTAGAGAGGCATGCTCACGAGAAGAGAAAGACCTTGTCGATGACTACAATTTTGGTATAAAGCTTTTTTTTAATCTAATATCAATTGAGAAACAATCATTTATTATTATAAAAAAAGTAATACATACTTCGGTTGATGGGTTATACCCAACTAATGTAAGGTACAATTGATACCAATGTATATATACACATGTATGGAATAAGACAATATGGGACAATGATTTTTATACTGGTTCAGATCTCCCGAGAACGATAATATCCCTATTTTAGTTTAGATGTATTAATCTGGAGTGTATCACTCTGAGTATAAAGAGGGAGCAAGTTAGCTAATCTAGTATAAAAATCAACAAGAACGGGATGAAAGGCTAGTTCGGCAACTGTTTTATCCCCCTGATGCTAACGAAATTCTCAGGTTGCACGTTCCACATTCGCCCAACGATGATTTTATAGCATGGCACCGCGGACCAAGGGTGCTCTAGCTTGCAATTCAACGGGAGATCCCTGTTCATTTCTGCTTGTAGCAGAGAATAAAATTTTAGATTACCGTGCCACGTTTTTCAAACTACTAAATGATGCGTTTTGTATGAAAATTTTCTATATAAAAGTTGCTCTAAATATCATATTAATCTATTTTCAAGTTTGTAATAATTAAAACTCAATTAATCACACGTTATTTTACCTCTTTTGCTTACAACACTTAATCTTTATCTTCATCTTCATCTTTAAAAGATTCAAACACCACGGAAAAAACACATGTTCCACAGAAAATCAGTATCTTTGCTTGCAGAGCAGCAAGAGACTGTCTGGCTACACAACACAATAAACACCGTATACGAATCATGGAGAAACCAAATAGAGTAAGATATGTGGAAGACGCATTCCATGCATGCGACGGTAACCTGTATGAAGGCTACAGCCCTACGTTCTGAGTTACACCAGATATAGTGGCTGCCAGCTGAGAAGGACTTTGTGATCAATCGGGACTTGACTGGCTGCTATCCTTCTAAACCAGCTTGATCCCGAGTGGAGGGCAGCAATCCTCCTCCTCTTATGGCGACCTTGGTATCTGCGGAATCATATTGTTCTTAACAACGAACAGTCATCGGTACGCTTGCAGAAACATTGTTCCTCGTCCGACAAGAATCAAATGACCCGAAAGGAAAAGCTATTAGCCAAATTGGTAGGCTAAAGATGTCAGGCCTCCCTAGCACCTCAAGGAGCCATGCATGAGATGCATTGGCGTCCACCGGCAAATGGCTGGGAAAAACTCAATGTCGCCGGTGCTTTCAACCCAGAGGATGGAAAATGAGCAATAGGGATTGTGGTCGGGGACTCGATCAGCAGGACAGACCCTCCTCACATGTTGGAAAGTCGTCAGGAAATGTGCGGCAGCCGAGGGGAAACTATTTTAACAGCTCGAGTAGATGTCCACCCGTTTATTGCATGTCATTTAAATGGTTATGAAAAAAATTAAAAAAATATGAATAAGATGGATCAATATGTAATGTATCAATCCACAAACATGCAAGTTAAAATTCAACTTCTATAGATTGTAACAAAAATAACAAACAAAACTCAAATTACTATATGTATATTTACAGTTAAATTTGTTATTTTTGTTACAACTTGTAGAAGTTGAATTTTAACTTGCATGTTTGTGGAGTGATATATTACATATTGATCTATCTTGCCAATTTTTTTAAAAATTTTTCGTAGTCATTTAGTTGACATGCAATAAACGGGTGGACGCCCACTCAAGCTATTAGAATGCATCCCCGGCAGCAGAGGAGGTAGAATTACTAGCTTGCTATGAAGGCCTTAAGCTAGTGGCCGAATGGATTCCGATGCCAGTACTGGAGGTCGAAACAGACTGCATCACCATTAATTCTTGCTAGGTTGTCGACTACGAAAGAAGAGCGGTCCAAATGGACCTTTTTGCTATGCAAGACAAAGACGGCGATGGCATTCCTGTAGGAAGTGCGTTTGATGCACTATAGACGAGAGTGTAATTGTGTAGCACATGAACTTGTTCAGCTTGCTAAATGATCGGGGCAAAGCATGGTTTAGCGTGATAGTGCACCGAATTGTGTTATGCAATATCTGAAACAAGATTGTAATCCTATTACGTAATCGATAAAGCTCTCGTTTCCCTCGACGATCCCTGGACATGGGTTCAATTATAACCACATCTCTTGGAGTAATAAAAATGTGTATAATATAATCAATTTCTTGCAGGTATAGCATACCTGCACACAGGGCCGCCCCAGATGCTCGCTATCTCCAAAGTTAATTTTCGTGTACATGCGTGCAACATATATGGAGCATCCATCTATTGGCATCGTTGTTAGTGTTCCTGCTTTAGTTTATGCAGGCCTTCCAGTTCTCCACTAGCTAATCTACTGTTCAGTAGTCAACCATTGTGATCTGTGAGATCCGATTTCGCCGCATGATCCATAATTTTCGTTGATCCATTCTGACTTCTGCGCCAATTAGTTCAGCAGTTTTCTTTAGAAGACTTTGCAGAGGAAGTTCATGATCTAGAACCACGCATCCATGCATGATCCGTCATCGATGAAAAATGATGAGAACATCTATTGTTTCTGCACTCCTTTCGTTTCTAAATATTTGACACCGTTGACTTTTTAGCACATATTTAACCGTTTGTCTTATTCAAAAACTTTTTGTGAAATATGTAAAATTATACGTATACACAAAAGTATATTTAACAACGAATCAAATGATAGGAAAAAAATTAAGAATTACTTAATTTTTTTTTAATAAAACGAACGGTCAAACATATTTAAAAAGTCAACGGCATCAAATATTTGGAAACAGAGGGAGTACATTCTTTTCAAACTATTTGACTGTCGATCTCATCTATTGCTGCTGTGTGGTGACATTTGTAGGGTTATTTTCCTAGTTCAGCTACCCTCTCTCTTAGAAAGGATGGTCCTGGTTTGTATGATCTTTTATCTCAGGCCATGTACAGCAGTACAGGGGATTTCATGTATCCTAAACTGTCTTTGATATAACTAGAAAAAATACACGTACGTTGCAACGGGTGGAGGCTATTTTAATTTTCTTATTTTTTATATGGTTTAGTGTCAGGGTTATAGATACCACATAGCTAATAGTAGTTGACTGAATCTTAGCAGGACACACCACATACCATATCCTATACGGAAACAACCTGCGGATATAGGAGGAGTTCCGGATAAGGAAAGACAACCAGAGTTCTACATGGAAACGACAAGGACTACTCGAATTGTATCCATATTTGTTTCCGTAGTTCTACTTGGACAAGGGGACACCTATGGGTATAAATACAAGGCCCCCTAGGAGGAGAGGGGGCACCCACAATCAACATACACGGATCAATAGATTAAGACAGAAGATCAACATACAAGCCAACATATGCTAAGACAAGCCGCCAGATGTCGACATTAGAGATACGCCTGGATCGACCCTATCCGGTACCTACAGAGGCCGGCCGTAGGGATCTAGCGTTGTCTCTGATCTCGCCAGGCACGAACTCGAGGAGGAAGACTACCCTGTTGTCGACTACGAGTCAGAACTTCAGACCGCCAAGTCGGCAACAGTTAGATAGGCTACCCCTAAATATTGTACTGGTGTAATTATGATGAATAAGAGCAATACCGGCTTCGGCCAACA